GACTTTTCTAATACAGATGAATGTTCTACTTCTTTCATAAGAACATCTTCATTACTTTCTGGCACTAAAACTATCATATGAACAAGATTTACATCAAATTTAAAGCAATCAACCTTCTTTTGTCGATTGCTGCTGAACAGATTGTGTTCCAACACTGTTTTCCTGAAGTTTTTCTTTAAAAACTTGGTCAATTCCTAAAAATAAATTGAAACTACAAAAATTTATGCATCAAACTAACGAGATTCCTGTAATTGTTCCACAAGACTTTGTTGTTTTCTAATTTCTGCATGCACATAATTATGTTGACTGCACTTAATGTGTGTAAAATTTTTACACTATACCATTTTGCTTTTCATCTTTCAGCTGATTTATCAGTTCCAGTAGCTGAGATTTTTCCTTAACAAACTCAGATATGGTCTTGTCTTTTAAAATCAACTCATTTTTTAGCATTTCTATTGTACATAAATATAATTTTATCAATTATGACAAATCACCTTCAACAGCCTCTTGCTCCTGTTGTTTGGACTTACATGTATCAAGAGCAGCTTTAGTTTCTTCAAGTTCTAAATATAAAATGAAATTTAGCTTTTTAGAGCATGTCTACTCACCAAGCTCTAAGAGTCTTTTGTTGCCATCAGTAGACAATGATGCTTCAAGTTCCTTTGAAAATTCCTGCAGAACTTTAGAACAAAGTTCAACACATTAAATCATAAAAGGTATACACATACCAGGTATTAAGCTTTTTTGATCCATTGCTTCTAGAGCTCCTTCCAACTGCATCATTGTCACTCCTTTGTCAGAACAAAGTTGCAATAATGATCTCATCTGTTCCTTTGTATCTTTTGTTTCTTGTATGTCACTTAATAAAGATACCTCCACATTTAACTGATGTCCTAACTGAAACCAAAGATCTTCCATAGGCTGAAGGACAATTTCTAATTTAGATACATCATCTACACAATTTAACAGTAATAATATAATCATGCATTTTCATAAGAAAGGCATACATACAGTCAAATAACTTTAATGATTCTGGCTTTTTGGGTATTTCTTGTTCTTTTATTAATGTCATCATTCTTTCTGAAAGCTCTTGCTTTTCTGCATTGCTATGATAGTTATACTAAAATAAAAACCTAAAGTTACCTTTTGCTATTATTGACTGTTTCTGAAGTGAGTCATACAATTTCTTTTTTGATGCAGCAATCTCTCCATCTTTTTTATTCATCTCTATCATTACAAATAGTAGAATGAATAATTAATGCTCTGTTCATACCTTCTTTAAAAGTAGCTTCAAGACTGTGTAATTCATTAATGAGTTTAGCTATATCTTCTACAAAATGATTATAGTCATGCATGCTTTGAACAATGATTTACTAAATTACTTTCCAGCCGAAGTTTTAGGTCAATAAATATCGCCATTGTGCCAACCACACCTTTCAGTGGTATAGAGTAACGTAGTTTAGGAACAGCATCAAATGATCCATGGACTGATGTAAGGCAAAATGGAGGAAAAGGATAATTGAAGTCATCAAATCTGTCAATATCATCTTGATATAACTACAGCACAAAAAGCAAAAAAGTGATAAACGAAATGCTATATGTTTTACTCACTCTACATGGTTTAACAAATGGTTGTACAGTCCATCCTTCACAAGAATCATCATATGAACTATCAAATATAAGCTCAATAAAACCATGAGGTGAACTGAAAGAAAAAGTAAAAATTTGATCAATCTCTGCTAGCGGATGATACTCTTCAACATACTGTAAGAAATAAATAATATTATATTACATGTACATATACTTATACTTGAATTAGTTTGGTCCCTTTTTTCCCTGCAATAAATGTCATCAAGTATTCTGTTAATTTCCATTCATAATATACCAATCCAATGTACAAAACTTCACCTGTAAATAACAAAAACATAATTATTGCAGCCATACACAAAATAATGTGTAACCTGATAACGGGGGGTTTAGTGTAAACACAAAATTGTCACCATCAGCCACACCCTCAAGTGATAAATAGTACTGTAAAGACTGTGCAGCATCAGGTGTTCCATAAAATGATATCAGGCAAGATTGAGGATAATCTAAGGCATCATCAAAATTATCAACATCCATTTGAAACAACTATAAAAATAATTATGATCAAATTACTAAATGAAAAATAGCTAAAATTACTTTGCCTGATTGAGGTTCAGTAGTCCACTGAGTCAATGATTTATCTTGAGTAGTAGCATTAAAGTTAAGCTTGATATAACCAAGATTTGAATTAAAATCAAAATTTACAAGTTTAACAATGTTAGCTAATGGATGTTGTTCTTCAATATACTGCATTATTAAGAAAAATTAGCATAAAAAAGAATAGTGATACATGTACATGCATTTTCTTACATTAACAAGACTTTTCAAATTCCTTGCAGCTATAAATGACACCAAATAATCATCTTCTTTTCTCTCATAATAAACAATTCCAGTATAAGATATAACTATGAGTGCATACCACAATAATACATGTAAATTTATTATACATTTCATACTTGGTGATGCAGGAATGGTAGATTTTACCACTCTGTGAACAGACAGTGTCACAGGGCATTCTATACCATTTAAAGATACAGGGTAGTGTAGAACAGGCTTTGTTTTAGGATCAAACAATCCACAAATTGACATCAGGCAACATGGAGGAACAGAACCGTCAATAC